TTGTATTTTTTAGTAGAGACGGGGTTTCATCGTGTTAGCCAGGATGGTCTCGATCTCCTGACCTCGTGATCCGCCTGTCTCGGCCTCCCAAAGTGAACAATAATTTTTAAAATTTCTATCTGTTATTTTCAAGTATACCTTGAGTATTCCCTATCTGAAATGCTTGGGACCAAAAATGTTTCAGATTTTGGATTTGATTTTTGAATTCTGTAATATTTGCATATACATAATGAGATATCTTAGGGATGGGACCCAAGTCTAAACACAAAATTCATTTATGTTTCATATACATCTCCCACACATAGCTTGAAGGTAATTTTATATAATATTTTTAATAACTTTATGCAACCTATCACATGAGGTCAGGTGTGGAATTTTCCACTTGTGGCATCATATCGGCACTCAAAAAGTTTCAGATTTTGGAGCATTATGGATTTGAAATTTTTGGATTAGGGATGCTAAACCTGTAAGAAAGATAGTTTTACTTTCAAATTCGGGCTCTTTAGAGCTTTATTTTCAAAACATGGGTATGTATCAGAAACATAATGGTAGCCAGTTAAAAATGAGATGATTTTGGTATCTTCTGAGGAGTTCAGGTCTTGGGTAGGGCTAGAAATAAGTGCTTCATGTGATTTTGATATAACATTTGAGAATCATTTCTTTAGTGGAACTAAAACAGTTCCACTGTTGTGTAGACACTAAGTAATGGTTTGTATTAGTTATTTATATTTATCACTTCCTACTATGATGGACTAGCTTGGATCACATCAACCCCTAAACTAAGAACAATTTAAAAGGCGGGATTTTAAATATCAAATTGAAAGTGCTAAATAAGTATTAATACAGACGGGACTCAAATGAACAAGATCTTAGAGTGTGACATTCTTCTAGGCTTTTCACTTTGAGGCATTTAAGTAGTGCCAAACTGAGCACATAAAAAGCCTAACAGAAAGAGACTGAAAAGGTGAGCAGGACTTTTAGCAGTTTCATGAGGCTGGAGAGACAAAACTTGGAGTCCATGGCCTGCCAAGAAGGAATGGCATTGGAAAAGCACTCTAAACCAGTGGTTTTCAAAGTATGGTTTCTAGGCCAGCAGCACTGATGGGGAACCTGTTAAAAAACATATATTCTTGGGCCCATAAATCTTGGGAATAGGGCTCAGAATCAGGTGGGTGGTTTTTTTTTTTTTTTTTTTTTTTTTTT